CTTTGAAGTTGCCAGTTTTGAGCACTTCGGTTTGGAACGACCCTTCAGTATGGCGGCCATGATTGTTTTCACTCTGAAGTGCCCTTCGGAGGGCGATATATCCCGTATGGAACGCACTGTATCTAGTCCACCAGTAAAGACAGGCAGCGAAATACTAGCCTCATTGTTCATTGGATTTAATAGACCAATTTGGTGTTTGCAAACAGTGATGACGTTTTCTGTGGGCGGAGCCTATCTGGTGGCAGAAATGACAGGTTTAAAGTAGCGGTCTATGGAAGCCATAGAATAAAAGAATTTAAAAAAAGGTAATTTTGAGTTTGTATTTCAAAATTCTGACTTTTTTCTCGCAATTCCGAGATCATATTTTACAATTCTGATAAGAAAAGGCAGCTGCGACGTTTACTCCAAATTGGTCTATTGAATTGTCACTCACCTGCAATTAAACCGATATGTTGCCGTTTGAAAGCGGGTCCCGCTTCTGAATGTTTGCCTGCCGTAACGAACCGTAATAAACACCGGTTTATTACGATTTTAAAAAAGCACAAGCACCATTGACGCACCCAGATGCGACGCTCTGAATTTGCGCATACAATGTATAGGTGCGTTCGACTTGAAGCACCGCTACAGACGGCAGTCAACGAGAGTAGCCGCTTATGAAGGTAAAATGACGTCAAAAAGATTTGCATACGCAGGGTAATATTTGTGGAAGTGTACATAAGACTGTAAGCGTAAATTAAATTTGCATGCGCAAGAGAAGCTTTGTAAAGGTGGGTCTGTGAGAGCAGATCTGTCAATGGCTTCACAGACCATAAACTTCATCACTTGGAATGTTAACGGACTTAAACGACAAAGAGATCAGAAATTTCAAGAACTACAAAATGCTGACGTTGTTTTCTTACAAGAGACACACATTGGAGTAGGAAATATTATAGAAGACTATAAAGATGAGTGGTATATTTTCTACACAAAGTACACATCCTCCAGCAAGGGAACAGCCATACTAGTGAGGAAAAGCCTAGATTTTGAACACATAAGTGATGAAAAAGATACCTGTGGAGCTTATGTTGTGTTGAAATGTAAGCTGAAACGTCAGCCGTACACTCTGGTTAGTGTTTACAACCATCACACAGACACAAAAACCCTTGATAAACTTTCAAGGTACCTGCAGTCAATGACCACAGGGCTGCTGGTGATCGGTGGAGATTTCAACACGGTTCTCAATAGATTTATTGACAAAAAATGGAACAAGATTACAAACAGTACTCATAGTAAATTGCTTTTATTTGTGGAGAAGTTCATGAAATCTCTTCAGCTGGTTGATGTCTGGAGAAGAAAGAACCCCATAAAGCAGGATTATACATACTACATAAAAGACTCTCCTGTGTCCAGACTGGATTACTTCTTTGTTCCGGAAGAATGTATGTGGCATGTCAGAAGTTGTGAAATAAGAGACTCGGAGATGAATGAAAACAAAGACCATCAGCCTGTGTCTTTAGAGACAAACATTCCTGCAATACCTTTTCAGAAAGATCGCCAGATACAAGCAGTCTTCCAATGGCTGAATTTAAAAAAGCATCTTTTGACACATGAGACAGGTTCATCACTGGATGAAGAATGCTCACATGCAGTCAGTGAGGTTGACATTGTGTCAGCTGTAAATTCTCTTCAAGTGTCAGACACACCGAGACCAGACGGCATCCCAGTTTTTAATGCTCTGAAAGCATTGAACTTTATGTAATTTTCTTCCCTTTTTTTCTTTTTTTTTCTCTGGCAGCTAATAATGTTAATTTGATCATGTGAATATGTAATACCTCATGTTCTTGTGGCATTGAATTAATAGAGCATTAAAAAAACTTGAAAAGAAGGCATTAAAATAGTACTTTGAGATCTAAATCGAGAATGATGTCAATATGTGGTAAATAGCAGGTGTAGAAGGCTATTTCTCGGATAAGAGCGATACATGTTCACTTGGGCGTATATCTATTTTTTCAATAGTTTAAAAAGGGATTTGGATTTAAAAGGGAGTGACCAAAGAACGAATGTAGGCTATTTAAATTAAAAACGATCAGTCGAATTAATGCGTCTAGCATAATTTTCACATTTCAACAACAGATGGCAGTGTTAGAGAGGATAAAGATAATAGCTGGGGTCTGCTGTACATTACCTTTATACTTTATACATTTTTTATATTTAACGAAAAAAAGTAATTATACATGTAGGTTTCTTGAAGCATCTTGGAGACGTTTCCACAGTTCTTCTGGATTTAGTCTGTCTCAGTTTGTTCTGTTTCTTCATGTCATTCCAGACACACTGGATGATGATGAGATCAATTCAAAGTCAAAGCAAACACACTGTGTGTATTTAATGTTTCAAAAAAAGGACCTCAGATGTGTATATCTTGTATATCTTCTAAATATTACTGCTCTAACATAACACTTAATTTCAGTTTCAACTAAGTAGAAATTAACTTCTTTTCTGTTTAGTAATGATCGTCTCTTTCTCTTCCACTTGATTTGTGTATATAGTGCATATTTAAGGTAACAATGCAATACATCATATCATATTATTAATATTAATAATATGACTGTCACTGACTGTGTCGGAGGAACGGACGCAGAGACGTGGATCAAAGAGACAGGCTTTAATGCAATCCAGAACAGGGGTAATCCACACTAGGAACAGCTGAAGACACATGTACATAACATAGTAGACCCGACAAAGACAGAACGCACAGACTGAGACTTAAATACATGGGGTCGAGTACAATTAACAAGACACACCTGAACTAAATGACATGATTAACCCTTTGATGCATACGATCACACTGGTGTGATCAGTCTTGGCTGGTCCCTGAAGCGTACAATCACACGGGTGTGATTAGAACGTTCAGTGTGTCACGACATCAACTCTTGAATTCAAATCTGCTTTCGCGATTTTGCTGGCGCGGAGCCAGATCGGATTCACTAATCGCTTGTCATATTATCACAACTATTCAGTGTTTTCAACCATATAATGCTTATTTTAGGTTTCAGACATCTAAATACACATAAGTACTAGCAAAACAATACCTTTATAGTTTGTAAAATGTATATGGAAGTGGCAATAATAATCCATTCAATTATAATTTGACAACATGTTTTATTGATATCATATACACATTGTGTTGGTAACTATAAAGTTTAGTCTACTCTACTCTTTTCCCAGTTCACCGGAAACTAGACAGTAGAGGATGAATTTACGTCTTGTAAATCTCACAGCTCGGATTAA